CCCCCCCGCATTCCTCCTCCCCCATCTCTTTTATGCCTCAAGGCTCCTTTCCTCTCTTGCGGCGGTCAGAGAGAGAGAGAGAGGCACATCTCGTCCAGCACGCCCCCCGCTCCCTCTCCTTCCACCAGACCAGGTCCCACTCTCACTTTCTAAATGACGCTCTCCTCTGCCACTCCTCTCCCCCCCCCCTTTCCTCGGCGCTCGTTCGCGCCGGCCTGGGTTATATGACGCGATGTCTGGGTATGGAACAAGGGGTTCTCTCTGAAAAACTGCGGATATCGACTTTGCTTCGATACCTTTAAGCCCGTGGTCGCCGACTAGTTACAGAGGAAACCGAGCAGGAAACCAAAAAAGAGGACAGTGGGACAGACCAACTGCAGGACTCGCCTGCCCTATTGTGTTAACAGTGTGACTATCCCACTGTGAAATCATCAGAGAAACTTACTTAGACCTTGCTTTCCTTGTTCTCTCCACTGTAAAAATAAATTTCGTGATTTCACGAAATTTTCTCGGTTAATTTTCTAGTACGAAAACTTCGTTTTTAACCAGTTGCGATACATCGTTATTTTACGAATTGCTTCGTAAAATCCAAAGCTCTAACTAAGGGGTATGAAATTTGCATATATTTTGTCAAATTTTATGACATATGACCCCAAAATTATTTGCATTCGTTACGAAACATATTTGTAACTTTACGAAATGTTTCGTAAATTGGCCCTAACGAAATTTTTTCGTAAATTTTTTTTACGAAGCATTTCGTAACCCTTCTTTTCGTAAAATCACGAAAACTTTTTACAGTGCCCTCATTAGAGGTAACCGCAATGAGCGAGCAAGCGTTATTTATTAACTAATAATATAATTATTTTGATGGAGCGTCGGTTTGTGCGGCTGCTAGATAGAGGAAAGTAGGGGTGGAGATACAGCCTTATCCTCCGCCACTTCCTATTTCGTGCGTCCCTGTGGCGCGCGTGTGTGTCTGCTCGTGTGTGTGTGTGTGTGTGTGTATGTACCCTTGACTGACGCATTTTGCATTTCTTTGGTTGCAGCCGACGCGGAGCTTGACGTGCCGTACGAGGAGGAGAACTTCCTGGTGACGTTCTTGAGGCCGACGCACTTCTACCCGGAGAGCGCTTACGAGCGGGTGAGTCATTCGATGGCCCCCTTTTGCGCTGCAAAGGAGAGGGAGAGCGCTCGGGAGAGCGGGCCGAGCGCCGCGGCGGCGGCGCTGGCTGGTGGGGGGCGGGGAGAGCTCAGCGCCCGGCAGGTAGGCAGCTCTGTCGAGCCTGCGTGTTCTGCGGGGCTGCCTACCCATCAGGCGCTCAACGCCACCGCCGGCTACAACACTCGAAGAGTTACTAGGCTGTTTTATTCTGTAGGATTAGCCGATTATCCGACTCAGACGACACATGTGACGTGTTTTTTGTGTGTGTGTGCCACAGATGCAGAACTTCTTCAAGTTCAAGGTGAAGTACCCCAAGTACTGCGCCAACCTGATCCCGAGTCGGGAGCGGAACGTCTTCGAGCAGGGCATCCTCACCGTCTTCCCCAACAGGGACCACCTCGGCCGACGAGTGCTGCTCATCGAGGCCGGCAGTGAGTGGCGGGTGGCTGAAAAACTGGGAGGGGGAGGGGAGGGGGTGTTGACAGGTGTGGGATGTGTCTCGTGCGTGGGTTGGCTTAATCTATACGTTGGCTTCTTACCGTCCTTACGCCCATCCTCTCCCCCTCCCCTCCCCCGCCCCTCCCCCTCTCCTCCCGTTGACCGAAAAAGCTCCCCATTGTAACCACTAATCGGATGCGAACCCCGCCGCCGCATTTTGTAGCTATATTTACCTAACGGCAGGCAGACGTGTGTGCCCTTGTGCCTATACTCTGTAATTGGAAAGGTGACGTGCGTCGCCTCAAATCGGCGCGACACGTCGAAAAAAGGCAACGTCTCTAAATTGTGACCCCAACAATGCTCCGCGTGCGACCGAAACGGGGTCACGAGATTGTCGCCGAGAAAAAGGTGACACGGCGTGTGTCGCCAACAAAAGGGTCACAATTTAGAGACGGTTCGTTTTTTTTTTCGACGTGTCGCCGATTTAACGTGAAACATGTCACCTTTACATTTACAGTGTACCCATAACGCCCTCTAGCCCTGAGCGACTTGGCAACCTGCTCACGAGAGTGCATACAAATCGGAGTAATTTCAAAATTCGGCAGTTTTTTTCCCATCTACCTGTATAGGCACTAAACTGTAAATTTCCTTTGCACCCCTGAAAAGGCTCGACTTGGTACCTTTGTTTCGCCAGTTTAACTCCAACTCTCAACTTGGATTTCTATCCGCAGAGAAATGGAAGCCCAAGCTGTGCTCCCTGGACGAGATCTTCAAGGGCGTGATGCTGGTGCTGGAGGCGGCCATCTCCGAGCCGCGGACGCAGGTGTGCGGCGTGCAGGTCATCCTGGACATGGACGGTCTCGCCCTCACGCACGTGTGGCAGTTCACTCCGGGCTTCGCCAAGGCCGTCGTGGAGTGGGTGCAGGTGAGCGCCCGGCGGTTAGGCAACCCATCCTGGCCCCGTGTCTACCAACTCAACTAAGCCAGTTTTTACGACAGTCTCATCAATTTTCTTTACCTCTTTGTTGATACAGGATTGCATCCCAGTTCGACTGAAGGGTGTTCACATTATTAATCAGCCCTACGTGTTCAATATGGTGTTTGCCATCTTTAAACCACTGCTCAACGCCAAGTTACGAAATAGGGTACGTGAAGGTTTCTCTTTGTTTTATCTATCACTCGAACTTCTTGGGAATCTCAATAAATAATACAAGTTGGTTTTCTGCATTTCAGATTCATTTCCATGGCACTGACCGGCAGTCCCTTCTCAATCATGTAGATGCAAAATGCTTGCCCAAGACCTATGGTGGGGAAGTGAATATTCCAGAGTTTCCTGGAGGAAAGCTATGTGATCTCCTTTCCAATTATGATTCCCACTATGAGAGTAAGTCGTGATTATATTTTACCTTTACTGCTTGTGAATGTAAGGACATGTGTTTTAAAGAAAACAAATTTCTTTTTGCAGTGCGGAATCAAAATGGCTACAGCAAGAAGACTTAGGTGATGAGAAGAAATATTTTTTTACTTTGATACATTGGTAACATCATTTTAAAGCGCTATTGCCCTTGGAGCAGCAGAATGTAGCGGGGTACTATGACGCCAATGTCTTTTAAGCTAGTTACAAATCATTTCTGCACGTGAAGTTAAGTCATTCTTTATTTTATAAAATTGTTATTTTAAATTTACTTTAACTGCCTGTTTGCCTTTTATCTACCCTGGCAGAAAAGAAATCCTGTACAAATGTTACGATTAACTTGCCATGATTTTCTCCACCGCATCAGTACTGTACAAAGTAAAGAGGCTCATTTATAAAAATTACAGCGATGATTTCTCTCTCTCTTTTTTTTTTTTACATTGTATATACAGTTTTATTCTCATATACTCTTACATTATTATTATTGTTATGATATAATGATCCTTTGGTTGTTTTAATCAAGGCGTTTTTCATTTCATATTACTGTGGCTGTGAAAACATAATTGATTAATTGCCGTAGATTTGCCTGATTGTAATTATTATTGTCCCTCAAATGTTGCTATACCATCCATTCGTTCTTGGGGAAATGTCCTTCAGGTGTTTATTATTAACAAGAACACCATTATTAATAAAAAAACAATACCATATCACTGTGCATTTCAATTTTATTTACCCTTTCGAAAAGACAATGATGGAGGAGAGTAGGCAGAGAGTACGAATGCATGGGGAGACACGGTATGTTTGACTGGTCTGGAGATGGATGATCAGAACTTGCTCGAAGTGAGCCAAAACACTTTCTACAACCTTACGTAGACTCATTTTATTGTCCAAGTCCCACGTGGCCACGTGATGGTCACGACGCTACGGCGTTGAGGTGCGGGGCTCCCGCGGGCCGTCGGTGGCGCTCACGCCCTGCTCGGTCACCGCCAGGCCGGAAACAGGAAGCGAACCCACCGCGGCCCGGCCGACGACGGGCACTGCCGAGCGGTGGTGGCTGCGCTCGTCTGGGAGAAAATGAAAAATAATAACGACAGAGAGCTTTGCAGTCATGTCGTGTCCCGACGTCGACATGTTCCTGGGCTTGAGGCCTCCTGGACTTACTCATGCCCTCCTCGAAGCCGCCGGTGGTGAGCACGAGCACCTCGTACACGGGGGAAGAGACCAGCTGGCCGTCCATCTCGGCCACGCACCGCTCGGTGTAGCGCTGCACCTGCGGGGACCGGCGGGGACAAAGGGACAAGCCGTCAGCCGCGCGCGCCTGCGCCTACCCCCTACTACTCCACCGGGAGGGAATGAGGGGGGGCCGCACTTAGGGGCAGCGGGGGGACACTGATAGTTTGGCCGCGTAAACCCGGTTGCCCACGCCCTGCTCCTCCCGATGGGGGAAATTCCTGCACCCGACTATAGAAAATCTCTTTTTCGAGCAGTATATGATATCCACGCCCCAAAGGTGTACCTACCTGAAGGTCCTTCACTCAAAAAAAAAATCAGTGTAGACCCTTAGAAAAAATCAGGAAAAAATAATAAAAAAA